TATTCAAACGCTAATTAATTAATATAAAAATTAATTAATTAATTAAACTGTCAAAAGACTCAATTCTTATACTTTTCTTCTCCCGTCAATGCGGTATTACAACTCTATTGACTAACTCTAACCTAAGGTCAAACCCACCCTGCAACCATATTATTAAGGTTATAATCATGGTTTCTCCTATGCATAAGTTTCTTGTGGAGAGGCCTTACCCCAGTAGAGAAAGAAGGAAGATCTCCAGAAAAAGGGCTAGTGTCAGTTTGGGCCTTTGTTTTTTGCAGGACACCCGAATGATCATCACAATATAGAGAAAAGAACGAAAACAACAAAGACGAACTAAAGTTTCATCACCAACTGGTCTGTACCGTTCAAGGAAATAGGCAATGGGGAACATGATCATAGCAGGCACGACGTGACGATACGTTACATAGACATTAGGATTTATGCCATATTTGAAGGAAGCTTCAGTGATGAAGTACTGGAAATTAACTCTGTGTTTTTTAAGGGTGGAAAAGGAGGGGAGGGAAAGATTAGGAAGGAAAGTAGGGTTACCAATAAATTTTCCCCCGTTTCCGAAGGAGGGCACAGTAACAGTCATAGGGCTGGGAAACAGTGCGGTCTGGTCCAGACCATATATACGGTCTATGGTCTAGACCGAGAGGCTGAAGTATAGACCACATACCAGACCATAGACTATACGGTCCGGTCCAGACCACGCCTGTGCGGTCTGGTTCGGTCTGGTCTGGTCCAGATAGACCACACTCAACGAAAAATGAATAATTTGTTTAGTCTACCACACAAAAAATTGAACCAATACCAAGAGAAATAACTGTTATTTGCCTTAAAACATTAATCCTAACATGCATGAATAATTTTGATACCCTAAATCTTAGTACATAACAAAGATACAAAGTAAAAGCATCCCAACTTGCACCATAACGTCATAAACATTAACATAATGTCATATTGAGACACAATTATCTCTACTCTCTGGTTAAATGTGGTTGTGAATGAAGGAGGGACGTGATTCTCAAAACTAAGGTTGATACTTGGGTGTCGTTGTGGGAGTTGGGAGAGTGGTCGAATGAGTTGTTAACACGTATTGACAAGTTGGTTGGGTCCACGGTTTGGTCTGGTAAACCGCGGTCTAGACCAGACCAGACCAAGAGATCAAAACATAAAATAATACAGACTGTGGACCAGACCAGACTTAACGGTCTACGGTCCGGACCAAACTGTGCGGTACGGTTTGGACCACTGTTTTTCTAACGGTCTGGTCTATTTTTCCATCCCTAGTAACAGAGGGAGGGAGAAGGGAGAGAAAAATCACTATACAGCCCTGCCCTTCAAATCGGAGAGAAAGGACTTTTTTTTTTTTTGAACAAGGAGAGAAAGGACAATGAATGCATTTTATTTCCTTCTTTTTAATTTATCAGGCCAATTAATCCTTCTAACTTTTCCTTTTTTTTTATTTGCCAGCCATTTTCTCTCTCCTCTCTCTTCGCTGTTGTTTTCTACGTTCTCTCCAACAAACTGAAAACAGAGAAAGCCATTATACTCTTCTCTCCCATAATCTATCCAAGCTTCCATCCCACTCACCGTTAATCTAGCACTCCTAATTAATTTTGGATTTTTTACTTTTTCCCATCTGCAGAGTAGTGAGCAAAAGCCAACGATTGTGTTTAGCAGATGAGTACTTAGCAAATTAGTCGGTTCCATTGTTAGTAATGGGCTTGTGATGGCTAATGTTCTATGTTTTATCATTATTTATGTCAAATTGTTATGGCTAATGTTCTATTTTTTTATTAATGAGGTAGAATGAGCAAAAGAGCGAAATGTAAGTTGAATAATTTTTAATTGATTTAGAATGCTTGAGCAATTATTATTTCTCTATTTATAATATTTTTTGTTTATTAGTTACCGGTTCATTAGTGGGTTCACAAACGACTTAACACCGGTTAAAACCATACCATCAACAATTAGGCTGGAAAAACCTCCTATCCTACCGGAGTCTAAACCGATATTTGATTTTAAACGTATAAAATAATTGATGTGGTTAAATCATGATTTTAAAACAAATATCCTATCACTAATTTTTCCGATACAATTTCTAGTGTGGTTCAAGAAAGAAAGTACAAATTTAATTCACAATTCATAAGTAGAATATTAACATACAAACAAATTATTTTCATATTACATAACCAATAAAATAACATATTCATCACATTTCCCAATACACACTTTCCTTCCCACTTTCTTTCATAAAACAACATTTTCCTTCCAATTTCCTTCACCTCCAACTCTCCCCTCCCTTCCTAATTTTCCTTCATCTACCCTCATTTTCCCCCCTTTCTTCGGAAACAGAGGGTAAAGAAAATCTGTGCCAGAACCATGAGCAGGTGTGTGTGGCCTGAACTTTCTGCAGACTTCTCCAAACCCACCACTGCCATTCTTTCATCATTACCCAGTTAATGTTCTCCCTTCTTTCTGCTCTTCACCTTCTGCTCTCCACAAGCCAGAAGGAAATCCAAAACAACAAAAAATGTACTTATAGAACATGTAGTGGTATACTTATATTAATAGGATTTCTATTCTTGTTGCCACTTTAGCATTGATTTGCTACTACAGCATCATGTTTACTTGTTCTCCATTCCATTTTTTTATATTACTGAAGTGAACAACCTGCTCAAGAGCACTTGTTTTCCTCTTGTGGCTCACAATTCAACGATTTTGCATATGGAGATTACAGTTTACTTGTCTTTTATAACGAGGAAATTGTTTTAAAATTAAGTGGCATTTCACTGAAGCTACTAATTATATATATAATAATATATAATATATAAAAGCATAACATGGGAGTTACTATTCATTAGTGGCTCTCACGCTCCTTCAAGTGCAAGTGGGGAAGTTTCAAGTCCTTTTTTTACCCCACACTCTCCATTCTACAACCTTTGTGTTTAGTTATTGTTCACTAGGTTTTCGTCTATGACTTTTTCCACATATCATCGCCTTTGTGTTTTGTTATTGTTCGTTAGGTTTCATCTATGGCTTTTGCACAAATCATCGTCTTTGTGTTCAGTTATTGTTCGCTAAGTTTTCGTCTATAGCTTTTTGCACAAATCATCGTCTTTGCCCACCATTTTGCAACTCATCTCAAAATACTGTCGGCAGAATTCTAAGTTGTTCCCCACCACCGTTTCTCAAGGCCGCTATCACGAGTTTTATATCGGGACCGAGTTTCATCCTCTTTAGTGTTTTTTTTTCTTTCGTTTTTTCCTTTTTGTTGAGCATTATCACAATTGAACCCAAACACATGGGTATCCTAAGTTGAACACAATTCATCGCCTTTGCCCACCATTTTGCAACCCATCTCGAAATACTGTCGGCGGAATTCTAAGTTGTTCCCCATCATCGTTTCCCAAGGCCACTACCACGAGTTTTGTATCTGGACTGAGTTTCATCCTCTTTTGTGTTTTGTTATTGTTCGCTAGATTTTTCGTCTATGACTTTTTGCACAAATCATTGCCTTTGCCCACCATTTTGCAGCCCATATCGAAATATTGTGGGTGGAATCCAAGTTGTTCCCCACTATCGTTTCCCAAGGCCGCTACCACGAGTTTTGTATCAGGATCGAATTTCATCCTTTTTAGTGTTTTTTCTTTCTTTTTTTCCTTTTCATTAAGCACGATTACAATTAAACCCAAATCCATGGGTATCCAACCTAATTTGGTCCAGTCAAAGCGACTTGAAACTGACATTAGCATTTTTAAATATCTTTTGTCTTCTTCTTTTGGTTGGGAAGACAATTGAACTTGAATCTGAGGTTTTGAGTTTTGACGAGTGTTGTATTGTGAGCGAATTTTATCCGGTTTTGTAGTTGGCAAGTAGGACCAAATGTTAATTTGTTAAAAAATTGTTCTAAGCGAGATAACACATTGTTGACCAGTTTTAGATCGAAAGCGAGTTTTGGATGCTTTTATTTTATTTTATTTCTCATTTTCCTTTTTATTGAGAATGACAATTGAACTCTGACCCATCATTGACGCGTTTCGTATCGAGAGCGAGTTTTATCCGCTTTTGTAATTGACATGTTGTGTAAATTGTGAATTTGTTAAAACTAGGTCGACCCGATCAAAGCGAGTTGAAAGCAGTGATGAGAGTTTGGGATCATGAGCGAGTTTTATCCGCTTTAGTATTTTTTTTATCTTTTTCCTTTTGGTTGAGAATGACAATTGAGTCCAAACGCATGAGTATAAAACCTAATTCGACCCGACCAAAGCGACTTGAACCCGATTTTACATGTTTTCGGCGGGAGCGAGTTTTATTTGTTTTGTAATTGGCGTGTTGTGTCAGGTGTGAATTTGTCAAAAACTCTGTCCAACCAGGTCAAAGCGAGTTGAACCTGGTGTTGACGAGTTTTGAGTCGGTAGCGAGTTTTACCTTTAGTGTTTTTCATTTTGCTTTTTCGTTTTGTTCGAGAAAGACAATTGAACCCAAATCCATGGGTATCCAACCTAATTTGACATGATCAATGCGAGTTTGAACATTCCCAAACCTGCAATCAATCCAAAATTTTCATAAAGGAGAACCACGATTACATCAAACCCAAAAAAAATCCATACAAATTGAAATATTAGCGTCATGAAAGAAGTTTAAAGGGTAAATTTCAGGGTTGGTCACTAGAATTACAAAACATGTTCATGTTTGGTCATTACAAATATCTAATTCCATTAGTGGTCACTAAAATTAGTAAATAAGTGCATGTTTGGTCACTCTCCGTTACCTTCCGTCAGCCTTCATTAACACCTTCAGTTTTTTGCTGACGTGGCTAACAGAAATGTTGATTCATCAAATTTAAACTATAAAAAAAAACAACCTGTAAAGCTAAACCCGACCGGTGAGATACTCATCCCAACCCGTGACCCAACCATTCCTCTTCTTCCTTCATTCGACCAGACCAAAAAAACCCTAAAAGCTCACAAGAAATTGTCGCCGCCTCCAGCTCCTCCTACAAACCCAGATCCCTCTCCGAGCTCTCCCTCGCCGTCGCCTGCGAAGAATCTGGAATCTCGAGCCGAATCCTACCTCAGCCACTCCTCACAAGCGTCCTCAACTCCATCATCGTCCTCCACACCTGCGAAATCCCACCCCCCACCCTCTTCCCTGCATCTCTAGAAGATATCAATAATCTTGTCCCCCGTCTCATCAACTCCACTACCAACAACGCTTGAAAAGAACAGCTTGCCTCCGGGCTACTGAAGCTTGACCACAACTACCCGTCCAAGCTTGCAATCCCTAGCTCCAACCCAGATATGTTGTCCAACAGGTGGGGGAAATCTTTCGATGTTTAAGCCTGGATTTCTTCCACCGGGTTTTAATCGCTGTGAAATCTAAAGGATTGAAACAGGACGTGATAAGCAAGATCTTGATCAATTACACTCACAATTCGCTACAGGGATTCTGATTAGGGATCCACGGTTGGTCAAAGGAAGCTTGCTTGTCGATTTCGAGCTTCAGAAGCGGCAGAGGGTGATTGTGGAAACGATTGTTGGTCTGCTGCCGACTCAATATAGGAAGAGTCCTGACCCCATGTCGTTCCTCTCTGGTTTACTAAAGACGGCAATAGCTACCTCGACAGCTAATTCCTATAGATCTTATTTGGAGAGGAGGATTCGGCTTCAGCTTGACCAGACCATCCTCGAAGACTTTCTGATTCCCACACATGCGCATGGAGCAATAACCACCACCACGGCGCCGCGACTACAAGATACGGATTCCATTCTCCGAATTTTGGTGGTCGCTGTGGTGGACAGAGGGGAGAAGGGTGATGATGATGGCCTAGGGACAGCCGATTCAAAATGAGAAAAGGTGGGAGAAAAGTGTTCATCCAGAACTTCGCCGGGGAGAGGAAGGGGTAAATAAAATAGAAGGGGTTGGGTCGGGTCAGGGGATGATTTGAGTGGGTTAGTTAGTGGGATGATGTGGCGGGTTTAGCTGACTGTACGGGTGGGGTTTTATATTTTTTATAGTTTAAATTGGGTGAATCAGTCCTTCTGTTAGCCACGTCATCAAAAAACTAACGGTGTTAACGGAGGCTGACGGAATGTAATGGAGAGTGACCAAACATGAACTTATCTACTAATTTTAGTGACCACTAATGAAATTAAATATTTGTAGTGACCAAACATGAACGTTTTTTGTAATTCTAGTGACCAACCTTGCAATTTACCCATTAATAATTAAGAATGAAATAAGATTACTTTCACTCATTTATTGTATATAACAAACTTATGAAAAGAATGATTAAGAATGAAATAAAATTACTTTCATTTTTGGGTCAACATTAAAACTATTACTCTTTAAAATATTTATCTTTGTGATACACGAAGCGACAACGAACGGGCTTTTGCCAGTACTATGAAAGATGTGGTTGTTGCTGCTTCTGATGATCTGATTACGTTTTATAATAATCATGAATTGATCATGATGAGGTAGTGGGGAAATCTTAAATAGTAGATGACAAGGTAACCTAAAATAGAAAGGGCCAAGCCCACTTCCTCTCATGGTAGAGTCTGCGGCCCATTCTCCACTTCCTAATTATTCGCATGCTTTCCCCAAGTAATGCAAGTTTTGTCAGCCAACCCTTTGGCGGAGAAAGTGAAAGAGTTCTGATATGAGATATTGAAACTTGAAAGTCGTCTCGAATTCGCCATCATGAAATCTAAGAAGGAGATAAGTGGATCAACATTGTTTAGAGAAAGTTATTAACCGTTAAGTTTAGTTTTATCATCAATATTTTGTTTAGACATGTAATTTTAGTTTTAGGGTATATACTATATTTTATCCAAATATTTCATGATCTAAAATATCAATCAAACCTTTGAAAATATGAAATATTAGTCAATTGTTAAGGCTCTCATAATACTTCCACTAGATGAAGATGAGCTGAGGAACTTAGATGAAAGGAATATGGTGATATGGCATTAAAAATAATTTTTTACTGGGTAAATGCTATTTTTTAGCTAAACATTTCACGAATTCTAAAATATTAGCCAAACTTTTGAAAATACCAAATATTAGCCAAACCATTTATCACAGTTATAAAATTATAGTCATTTTCCGTCAATGTTAAAGTTGTCTTAACATAATTACAATAAGCTAATCATCATTCCACATGTTTTACAGATTAACACATGTCAATTAATAAATTTGATTTTGACAATACTCAAATATGATGTTTTCGTCCTAAAGAAAACCAAGTCAACACGATTGGACATCAAACCTCGAGTCGGCCCGTCAGAGACGAGTTCCGGGCTGTTATGGGTTTCCTATTCTCTCTCTCTCTTCTGTGCTTTGCATAAAGCTACTTCCTACTCGCTATAGCACACATTTTTTTTGTTGCCATTAATGAATGATCTGTCGAATCATTCTCCTTCTCTTCATATGTTTGGATCAATCTGATATTACACGTAGCCTCTCATAGAAGTGGATTGATTATATGTCAAGACTGTTGTAGCAACAAAGAAAAACAGAACTGATTTCAATGTGACATCTCTTTCTTCATTGCTAAAGGTGCACATGGATGAAATCTTAAGCCTCCCCAGGCGACACCTTAGATTCACCAGAAGTAATTATCTGTAGATTGGCTTCCTTTTCCTCACTATAAGCAGAAACACTTGGTGCTTTGGAGTGAGCTTTCTGATCGCCTTCTTTTCCCCAAAGCAGCAAATATAATCCAACAATCACAACCACGGCACCTATTATGCTGAAACAAGCCACAAATGAACTGTCAGAACATAATATAGACACAGAGACAGAGCCAGTAGAAAGACCAAATTACAGACCTTCCCAGGTAGAGCTTTTCTCCCATGATAAAGTAAGCTAGAACTGCCACCAAAATCGTTGCAAGAGGGTTGAAGGTGGTAACAAAGACGGGACCTTTCTCTTCTGTGCACCACAACTGAATGAATACCACTAGTCCTGAGATTACCACTCCCTGCATCAACAACAAGTTCATCAATCAGAATTCATTTAAAAATTCTGAAATTCATGTTTGTGATAACTCTGCTTACACCATAGATGATAGACCATAAATCAATATTGAAACCGATCGTCCAAGCAGACTTGTTATGCTCTATAATGACTGTGAAGACTGCTGATTGCACCGCCCCGACCGCGCTCATCCAAGCTGTGAGGGACAACTGAGCAGGATATCTCTTGAGTGTTAATGCCTGCAATTTCCAAATTGGGAAAAGAATCAGCTTGATTTCAGTTGTGATTTCTTATCATGCACACAGCTTGAGCTAAGTTAGTTTAGAAACCTGCATAATGTACCAAAGCGACCATGTGATGCAGCTCGCCACCGTGAGAACAGAACCCTTGAGCCAGCTTTCGTGATTGTTGTTTGCTTTCCCCTGTATCTGAACCAGAGGATTCCATAGTTGTTCGACGATGGGGCCTCTGTACAATGTCATGGTCATTACACCAGCCAATGAAACTAAGGTGCCTAGGATTTTGGCAATTCCTCGTGGATTTCGAAGATCAAGTGACTCCAACCTGATAAATCGAAAGGGAAGTTGAAAACTTTTTGAACAGATTGGAGAAAGAAGAGGGGGAAAAAAAGCATTATAATAGGCCTCATCTGTTACGGAAAAGAACAGAAAGCTGACCTTAGCACAACCGCAATAACAAATGTCACAGAAGCTATGGTGTTCACCATTGACGCAACGAAAGTTGGAGATGTGTATTTCAGGCTAACAAAGTACATGTTCAAGGTCAAACCCACCCTGCAATCAACATAAAGAGAAAGAAGGGGGAAAAACTGTGAAATTATTGAGGTTATAATCCTGGTTTAATTTCTCTGCTGCCTAAGTTTCGTTTGGAGAGGCCTTACCCCAATAGAGACAGAAGGAAGATCTCCAGGAAAAGGGCTAGGGTCAGTTTGGGCCTTTGTTCTCTGCAGGACACCCAAATGATCATCAGCATATGCAGAAAAGAAAACACAAAGATGAATTTAAGTTCCATTACCAACTGGCCTGTACCTTTCAAGGAAATAGGCAATGGGGAACATGACCACAGCAGCCACAACGTGACGATACGTTACGTAGACATTAGGATTCATTCCATGGTTGAAGGAAGCTTCAGTGATGAAATACAGGAAAGTATAGCAAATCTGTGCCAGGACCATGAGCAGGTGTGGCCTGAACTTTCTGCAGACTTCTCCAAACCCACCACTGCAGCCAGCCTTCATCATTTACTGCTGGCTTCCCTTCTTCTTTCTGCTCTTCACCTTCTACTCTCCGAAAACAATAACGAAACAACAAAAATGTACTTATAGAACATGTCCTGGTATATACTTATATTAATAGGAGTTTTGTTCTGTTATGGACCAGATGAACCATACCATATCTTATTACCTCTTCTCTCACACTTGCTTCCACGGTATCAGAAATTAGTTCTGTTTCTTTTTCCCCAATATGGGGCTAGGGAATTTATACTCTCCTTCCCAAGTGTACAACCTAGTTGGTGTTCTGATGTCATGTAAACCATCATCTAGCAGTAAAATTTATATATGTACGAAGAACAAATTCCATACCTTGCCAAGGAACAGTGAAGTTGAAAGGAGGGCTTCCTTCTGAGCAGGCCAAGTTAATTATGTGGCAGTGGCAGCTTCCAGTAATCAGAAATGGGTTTTGAGTGGAGGGTTATTTAAAGGAATGAAACAGTCCAGCACTCTCTCTGAGTGTTGCTGGTTAGGTAGGGTTTTGCACACAACAACATCATTTTATGTTGCAACTTTCATTCAGTATATAAAGGGAATGGTTTTCTTGTGATTGTTCATTAAGCAGTTAAATGGTAAATAGCCCAGAATTTAGGAGTATAGATATGAGAGTTTGTTTCTTGGTGGTCAATTCCACGTCGGTTTGTTTCTCTCTTACTAAGAATAAGATGGTGATGAGAAGAACTTTTCTTCATGCGTTTTGGGTGCTCCCCTCTCATGTTTGTCTCTTATTTTCTTCGTCTTTTTCTCTACCTCAATATAAGAATAAGAAGAAGAGAAGAAGAAATTACTCCCCTTCAACTAACGTTTTTCCTGTTCTATGTAATCCAATATTAATTTTTGCTAATAATTTCGGCTACGCTTGGGAATTGTTGAATCGGAGACGGAAGCCACAACGATAGCTGCAATATTCTTCCTATTTACGGCTTCGCGCCCACTAAAATCTTGTTTTTCGGTAGTAATAAGAAAATGGAAATAATTCTCTAATTTTATGCATAGATCTTTTTGGAACCTAAGGTCTCATTGGTCATCAAGTCCAATTTACTATCTCTCACTCTTGTTCTCTTCGTCGCTTGAATACATTTTCTTCTCATTCACGACTTCGCGCTTGCTGAAAGCTTGTTTTGAAGTTGTATTTGTTTTATTATTTCCATAAAGTTATTTCAAAATCCGAGATTACACTGGTCAGCAAGTCCAATTTTATCCCACGGCTCATAATTGTAGTGTCTTAATGGGAGTTTAATTTAGTAGATCCAACATGATAGATCATCCTCCTTTTATCCATACCCTCATTGATTAGCGATTGCAAATTGCTATATAGCCCCAACCACATCTTTGTGGGTTTAATTTACTACTTCTTTTTGTCAATTTTCGACACATTTACAGTACTATCTTCCACTTGCCACGAAGCGCTAACGAGCCGTGATCATATCCGGTTACGACAACAATCAAAGATATATGCCTATAGTATAGTCCACTAATTAGTAGTAGTAGTACGAATATTGTTATGGGAACAGGAAGGAGAGCATTTTACTCATCTATCATTTGCCCACACCAATTTTTTTTTTTTTTTATGGATTGAAGTGCTGAACAACCTGCTCAAAAAGCACTTGGTTTCGATCTTGTGGCTCACAATTCATCGATTTTGCTTGTGGAGAGTATTGTTTACTTGTTTTTCTATCACGAGGAAATGATTTTAAAATCAGAAGTGGCATTTCACTGAACCTATACTATGAAAGATGTGGCTTCAACAAACTGACAATCCTGAGTGGCTGCTGATCTGATTTCGTAGGTTTATAATAATCATGAATGAATTATGAGGTAGTGGGGGAATTGGGTCGGGCAGTATATAGATAACAAGGTGACCTAAACTAGAAGGGGGGCCAAGCCGAATTCCTCTAATGGTGGAGTCTGCCGCCCATTCTCCACTTCCTAATTATTCCCATATGCTTACCCCAAGTAATGCAAGTTTTGTTAGCCAAACCCTTTGGGGGAAGAACGTGAAAGAATAATTCATGTTAGTCATGGGACTGGCCTGATCATGATCATGATCATGATCATATGTTATCACCACCATCAAGGGCTTCAATTGGGTATCGTATTATTCATTTGTGAGAATGTGTTTACAGTTTTACAGGTGTTCGATATTATTGAATTGGATGCAGATGATTCGTAATGATTAAATAAATACATTGAAAATTTTGTTCGTGTAAGTACCTTCTCACAATGAAATTATACTCGATACGATTTTAGAAAACTTGCTACAAACATGATTTGGCGGAGCTTAATCAACGAATCCAAGGGATTGAGCTATGTAAACCTTCTGGGTATGCCTACTATGACATGCATGTCACGGTGACATGCACTTTTCGGTCGACCTATTCCTAAGGGCGGTCGACCGAATAGTCTAATTTGGGCAGCACGAGAAAGCCTTGCGGTCGACCGCCACGACCACCTGGTCGACCGCATTTAGTTTAAGTTGGTATTTTTGGTCGACCAGAATAGAACCTCGGTCGGCCATTTCGTTGGCGTCAGAAACAACATGGTCGACCACCTAATATATAGGTCGACCACTTGATGGCAGTAATTAACAAAATGGTCGATCGGATAAGGAAAGAGGTCGACCAGATAGAAGATAAGTGTTCTATCAAAGTGTCCAATCATTTGACGTAAAATGGAGATCAAGTGTTGGTTTCTCGGTCGACCTAATCCGGTACGAGGTCGACCGAATACAAGAAAGTCAACCTATGCCCCGTGTCTTTTTTGGTTATGTATGTCGATTTGTGTGGTTAATTTAATCGTATAAATTATGTTTCAAACCATCATAATTAGTCAATTATAACAAGGACTCATCAATCCATAGCATAACAACTAAAAATAAAACACACATAAAATAGCATAATTGTTCACCACATAAAAATAAAACTAAAAAAACCAGCATAGCATAATTGTTCACACATAAAAATAAAACTAAAAAAATAACATAAAAATAAAACTAAACAAATAAAACTAAAAACTACTCATCTCCCCCCTCTCCCTCATTCACATTTTCTTCATTTTCTTCATTGGTGGTGGTAGCATGGTGGTCAGATGTGGTGGGATGCATGTATCTTCCGCTGAAAGATCGCCACTCATCTCGCATCTCATTCACGGTCAGCTGCATTGTGCTCATCTGGGCGTTCATTTGCCCCATGTAGTCGTACATGCCAGTCATCTGGGCGTTCATCTGGCCCATGTACTCGTACATGCCATCCATGCGCTCCCACACACGCTGTAAGGTGATCGGTGGAGTTGAAGTCTGTGCCTCCCCCATTGGCTCGTCTCGAGCTCCTTGATCACCATCATCACCATCATCATCCTCATCATCATCATCATCACCACCACCAGCATGAGCAATGTTTGCTCTGACATACTCACCATTACGCAGCTCAAAGCCCATCTTTTTCAGAGATGAAACAGTATAGAACTCCTGCCTTGAGATCGATAACCCCACCTCTTCACTTAAATTCACATTAAAATGCTCAAATATCACAGTGAGGATCATCCCATAGGGAAGATTCCTGTTTGAACTCTCAGCAGCAGTAAGCATGTGGTTAAAGATCAAGTATGGCAAGTTCACCTTCTCGTTTAACAGTAGGTTGGTGAGGAGCTCCATGTCGAAGTAGGTGACTGTCTCCCGATGTCCACCCTTTGGCAGAATGTTGTAGGAGAGCATGTGGTGAAGAACTCTGGCTTGAACTGTCAGGTGGTTACTCGATGGCCTATTGCGCCCCTCAGCATCTTCCTCTTCATCAAGACCACATACGGTCTGGATTTGCTTAGCTCTCGCGTAATGCGTTTCATTCCAAGCACCGTAAGAATTGATTCTCCTCCCCGCGTTTGGAGCCTCCAGTACTTGCGCCAACACATTCTTGCTGATGCGCATCGCCACCCCATTCACATAGGATTTGAATGCGTGAATGGATCCATTTGCATTGCGCTCGTAGGAGATGTTGTTGTAGAAGTATTGTACCATTTTTGGGTAGTATGGTACATTGAGTGATATCACCTTCAACCACTCCTGATCGACGAAGGGTCCCAGAAACCCGTAATTCTCGAAATGAGAATACGCATCCGTCGTCAATGGCCTTCCCGGAACCACCCTGCGGTTGTGCATACTCTTCTCTTCGTAGTTCTCACTTTGCTCCTTCGACTGGAACAAATTCGAATTGAACTCCTCCCATTCCGAACTTGAAGCAGCAGCTTTTTGTGCCTTTCTTTTCTTTTTGCCGCCAAACATCCTGCGATCAAACAAGCAAGAATACACATTAGTCCAATTTTCGAAATGAACAATACGCGGTCGACCACTCCACAAAGCGGTCGACCACAATTAATTTAAAACGAGAATGGGTCGACCTCAGAAGAAACACAGGTCGACCTCAGTTAGTTTAAAACGAGAACAGGTCGACCTCAGAAGAAGCATAGGTCGACCTCAGCTAACTTAAAACGAGAATGGGTCGATATAAACCCGTAACAATTCAAATACAAAATTGCCTTCATAGGTCGACCTCAGAACCATCATAGGTCGACCTCGGCTAAATGAAAACGAGCATAAAATGGCCCAAATGATGGTACCACTTGAGTGCAAAACAGATCCGGTCGACCTCATAATCTGAAGAGGTCGACCATTGGTAGTTTCGCACAATTTGAAATACAATGTGACAATAACTCGCACTTTTGCCTTCATAGGTCGACCTCAGAACCATCATAGGTCGACCTCGGCTAAATTAAAACGAGCATAAAATGGCCCAAATGATGGTACCAATTGAGTGCAAAACAGATCCGGTCGACCTCATAATCAGAAGAGGTCGACCAGTGGTAGTTTCGCACAATTTGAAATACAATGAGACAATAACTCGCACTTTTGCCTTCATAGGTCGACCTCAGAACCATCATAGGTCGACCTCGGCTAAATTAAAACGAGCATAAAATGGCCCAAATGATGGTACCAATTGAGTGCAAAACTTCACAGGTCGACCTCATAATCTAAAGAGGTCGACCTCAGTCTATAAAACACGGCCAGAAATAATAGAAAGACATCACAGGTCGACCTCAGAACCACCATAGGTCGACCTCAGTCCATAAAACAGAAAGCAAAAGCGGAATGAAAGCTAGATGCGGTCGACCACGAATATGAGAAGGTCGACCGCACCTAGCGTACAGAAGGAAAAATCCCTCTTTTTCAAGCTACAGATCTACAAAACACGGCCATAAATCATAGAAAGACATCACAGGTCGACCTCAAAATCATCATAGGTCGACCTCAGTCCATAAAACAGAAAGGAAACTAGATTACAAGTCAGTTGCGGTCGACCACGATGATGAACAGGTCGACCGCTTCTGACGAACAGAAGCAAAAACCCCTCTTTTCCATCTTTAGATTTTTTGAAAACAAAAGGAAGAAGACAAGAATCAACCCAAATGAAAAAGAAGAGTGAAAAGC